GTGACTGTGATAGTGAACTACACCCGCACTCTGGTCCCAAACTTTTACCCTGTTGTCACTCATTATGCAAAATATGTTTTGATGTTAAGAAAATCTTATGTATAACAGGTACAGTTTATAAATATTTATATTTTTTCATTAAATCTATTTATAAATAGGTTAATTTTTATCATAAAAATTAAAAATACTTTTATAACTATTATTTATACAGTACCCGGGTCACAATTGGCGTGTAAAACATGCTCCTATCGGTATTCACTGCTCGATTGTATTGAAAATACATTTCTAGTGCGATATCTATGTAATAAACACCAGCCCTCAAAACAATTAACATGTGGCTCCTGTAGTCTAGAGGACAGGCATGCGATCGTGAAATGTGGTGAATGCGATTGGATTTGCGAGGAGTGTCTCAAACTTCACTCCAGAATCAAGATATTGAAGGGACACCACTTGGAGGATAAGTGTGAAACTCACCAGGTTAACTTATATTAATTTATTTATTATGAACATACATTAAAATGAACACATTTAAATAATTGCTACATTTAGAGATAATTACTTATAGATTATATTAAAACAATACTGGTATAACAAATAGAAAACAATTAAACATGCTATATTTAATAGTATTAATTATTATTAATGAGTCATTATTTTATTTTATTAGCTATAAAAAGTTATTTATAACAAAAAACATGTATACAGTATTAAAATATTCATAATATAATATATTATTATATAATTTTCTAAATCACGTTTAATTTGATTGCAGGGAAAAGTGGTTTACTACTGTATCACCTGTGCTAAAGGCTACTGTAGTCGGTGCCCACTACCCGGCCACTTAACACACGATATCTATGTCCCGAAAAATACTGTTCCCGACCATTCGCGGGAATTACGTGAGACGGCACATAAACTACAAACTACACTCAATGCAAGTCAAAAGACCCTGACACAATTGCGAAATTACGAGACCGAGATAACGGCTCAAAAGGCACAATGTTATGCACTCATGAAGTCAACGGTACTTACGATGAGACAAATGTGTCGCCAATTGTTCGCAGAGTTGTCGCATTTAATCAAATATAACAGTAAACTACACAATGCAACTCAGTCGAGCACCAGTATTGAGCACCTGGATCAGTTTGTAGCCGCCATACTAGGGACACATAATGACCCGGTCACTAGATTGCTGATAACTGAACCGGCTGCTAATCAGTTCATTATTAATCAAGTATATATATATATATATCAATATTTTTTAGCATATACTGTATATTATATAATATAACTTTTTAAAATATTTATTTTTAAATGTAGATTAACAAGTTCATTTTGAGTGCCAATACAGTAGGTGCAATAGAATATCATGATTTCACAAGGAATGTACGAGAGCTTTGCGATGATCTCGTGGCTAATATTAAACAAGTGTTTGAAAAACACCACGATAAAATAATTTCCAGTTCAATTAATAACACAATTAATCACACAAATAGACCTTGTTGTTCCGAATCAGTACCTGTGCATAATGACACTACCGTTTCTACAGATGAGCAAACTATGCCTAACCAAACTGGTGAGGGTTTATCCAATGGTAATAGCATTTTAACGGATGAACAAATTATACCTGATCAAACTGGTGAGGCTCTATCCAATGGTAGCCCACATTTTAGTTCAGAAACTACTAGTCCATCAAATGAATCCACTTATGCAGGGTAACCCTTATGAATAAATATTATGCAATATTATTAATTTAATTTATCATCTTAATAGGCAAGATCCTGACACAATTACAGTCAATTATCCCGAGAATACTGTCGTATTTCAAGATGCCGGTGCCTTTAAAGATAATAATGTTGACACAAATACATTACAAATGTCTCAAAATGAGACTCAAATATATAGCAAACCTATCATTCATTCAAATGCCATTAAACTACTGGTGCCTAATGACAATACAATTGATACCGTATCGTCCGACCCTCAAACCTCACCTCTTATTGACACATCGGATACCATATGTCCAGAGAGTATGTCGTGTCTGACCAGTGATAGCGACGACTCGTGTATTATTATCGATGAACCGGAAGCCACGCCCCCAATCCATAACTCGTTTATTATTACCGATGACCCGGATATCAAGCCTACAATGAATAACTTAATTTCAAAAAGTACTCAAACCACGCCTACCAGTGATAATACAGAGTCAGAGGAGTTTGCTGGACAAACAGCCAGTCAATCGGAGTTAGTCGACACGATTTATGTGTTTCATCAAAATCATCTGGAACCAATAACACAATGTGATTACCCAGTTAAATATGAGATCGTAGACACGCCCCCTGTTGAGCAAACTACTGAGATTGAAACATCTCGTTCACCTCAGGTTGATATGTCAATTCAAACTGACCTTGATCCATTAATGCCCATGTATTATCAATTACAATGCGACTCCATAGCCATGCCTCCTATTGAAACTACGCAAACGGAAACCCCGCCTACAAATGATAGCCCATTTGAAGGGCAAACCACGCCTATAGTAAACGTTGAAGTTTTTAATGAGTCCGAAGTCACGCCCACACAAGTTATCACATATACTAATATTACACAAACCACGCCCACTGTACACAAAAAACAATCTAAAATTGTCAAACAAATCATAAGCCTAAAGACTTACCAAACACAACCGTTAATTATCCTTGATAAGATTGATATCCTGGATGAGTTAGCAATATCGAATAAAAGTGCCCTTGCTACTACATATAACAAAAGGGCAGTTGGTTCACTTGAAAAGGATTCACTCAAAAAACAAAAAGTAAATTGTATCAAGTTTAATATTTTTTAAAAACTAGCTAGTAATTTATTTATTTATCTATTATATAAATTTAAGTCACAAACAGCTAGGAAAACTGTAAAGAAACCTAGCGTAAAAGTCAATGAGAAATTATCATACAAACCTGGTAATCGTAAAGGTCGTACTGAACAAACACATAACAAGGTAAATAACATTAATAAATACAGTATATTGTAATATAATATGAAAATAAATTTAAATACTTTTGAACAAGGCTAATATTTCCAAGTCTAAAACACCCTTGGAGTTACGCAAACAAAAAATTATCCCTGCTAAATCTAGCATCTCACCGGTAACTAAGAAAAAGCCACAAGATATATATTATGATACTGCCCAGATAACCTGATAAAATTTCTACTAATAGCCAGCGCAATCGGATACTTCACAGGCAATTAATACCCAGGTAGTTTATATTAGTAGTCATCATTTAAAGTGTTTATGAATTAATAATAAAATATTAAATTATTTATAAACTAAATATAAAATAGAAATCTAATAAAAAATCAAGAAAAGATCGCCCAAAGGTAGTCAAACATTGCGATAAAAGTAGTCAACTATCTGAAGGTGACGTTGTTAACAAGGTCAGTCCACAAAAATCTCCCAAGGATCGTAAGCACGGGGCTCGTAAAAAATCATCAAACATTATTTCAAACTTCCGGTGCAAATACAATGATTGTAACAAAACATATCGCTATAAAAGTAGCCTGGATGAACATATATACCTGCATCTCAACGTGACGTACCAGTGCGAGTACCAGGACTGCCCTAAAGAATTTAGCAATCCTAGGTATTTACGTAGACACACACTTCGTGCACACAAATTGGCACCATGAACCTAATTTAAACTGTACTTTACCAGTTATAAATATCTCGCAAACTATAATTAATAATTTAAAAAACATTGCAATAAAAATTAAATGTTTTACAAAGTTATCTAATATTAATACAGTATAACTCAAAATGTATGTAACATACAATTCATGTAATGCTAATATTATTTGCTGTAATGCTTATAAAAATAATATAATTTATATAATGCATGCAATATTCCCTAATATTTATAACTTTTTATTTATACGAAAACCTGTCGCTCATTATAATAGATATGGGAAAGGGATGCCGATCGGGGTATGTCATAGAGACCGTACTTTCTCTCAAACTCTTTTCTGTCCAGCGATTGTGTGCTAAATATTTGTGACTTATTGTCTGTAAATAAAAAATACTTACATTATATATCTATAACCATAACAAGTTTACATTACAATTACCTGTATTTTCATCATTCCTATCAATACCCGGAACCAAATAGTAGTCAAAAGCGTTGAAAAATATTTTTCTGTTACTTTTGGGTACAGTATTTGTTTGACTGATACATCGCTTTGTATTTCTAGTGATGAATAGTTTTTCTTTGAAACTCTTTTTGGACTCAAATTTCTTGTGGTAATCAATGGCCGAATCGCTGCTAAAACTCATCATTGAATCCAATCGTCGCTCAAAGCTATTGTCCGCCGATTTATAGGACATCCGTTCATCCGATTTATTCATTACCAGTGGTGGACAGGTATTTGGTTTAGATTTTAGACATTTAATCTTACGAGTGCCAAGGTACTTTGACCCACAAATTAGTGAGATTTCCAAATATTCATTGTATGTGACCATAAATTCTAACAAAAAATATTTTTGTCAGAGAGAGAGAGAGAGAGAGAGAGAGAGAGTTGTTTAAATATAAGTTAACTCTATTGCTTAATAGCATGTACCAGTATTAGTTATGTGTACAGTACAATATATTAAATGGATAATTACCAGGTATAGTGAAATACAGTGTAAATGGATTCTTGTAGTGAACAATGAGTATATCATTTGTGACACCAATAGACACGTGTATTCTCTGTGTTTCACTGATGGCTGAGTCCAACAGTATATAAATCCTGTCTTTTGTCTAAAATATATGACAAAATCTATTAATAATTGAGTGATGTTTACACAAAACAGGTGTCGAAGCATATGTACTCATAAAACATTTTAATAAGTAGATTGCATCTAAACTAACTTTTTAAAACATGAATTTTAGTAAATGATACAAAAACTTTTTCTATAAATAAACTTTACTAGAAATAAAACTAATAAAAATTAATTAAAATTAATCTTAAAATTAGTTACATTTCAAAATTAAAGCAATTAATAATTAAACTAGTATATAAGCAATTATTAATTACCTAATTATCTAATATATTAGTTACATGATTTTACATGTCAAAAAACATTTATAAAACTAAAATCATAACAAATACCTCATAAATAATATCAGTGGACAACTCAAACTGTGGTGCAATTGATATAAAATTATTATACTTTTTAGTCGACACTTTCAACATCCGATTGTCTTTATACTTATGAAACTCGAGTATATTTGACAAACACTTCACCGTATTTATCATAAACTGTTTCACATCATTATGCGTGGCCACCACCCTATGACAGCGCCGGTAGCCGTACAGCAGACTCTTATGGATATCATTGACATCCGACTCCAAACAATTGCAAAACAAAAGCAAACATTTCGAGGGATTCATACATTTGGTCAATGAATACATCTTTTCCGACAACACATACATAGTGTTCAAGAAGTCGCGACTCAATAGTAGTATAAATGCATTGAATTTAGGCATCGACTGCAGGAACTCCTCGAAGTCCTCGTCCATGTGCTCCACGTGTTTGTGGTGTATATTCAACGGGAATTCAATCATTTGCGCGAATTCTTCGCTGAGATAACGGTCCCATTTGTGGCCGTCCGCTGCGAACAACACTATGATCTCCGGTACGATAAATGATAGCATTTTATGTACACTTTTTCATGTGGTTTTAATTTTGAAAAAAATAAAAAATTGTTTTGTTAGGCTCACAATTCTTGGAAACTATATGTGTTTTTTGAGTGCTATTCATGTAATTATGTGATATATTTTTATGCGATGTTTGCAATGTTTATACAGACTTTTGTTGACTCAGTTGTATAATACTCTGTATAGTTGCAGATCTCTCTCTCTCTCTCTCTCTCTCTCTCTCACACACACACACATACACACACACACTCATTCATTCACTCACTCACTCACTCATACACACACACACACAAGCTTTCTATTTTTTTAAAAACTAATTCATTTATCTTAAAGTATTATTTTAATTAATGAAACATTTCTTATCACTTAATAATATTTCTTATTAATTAATGAATTATCTTATATTTTGTAAAATAATATTAACACTAAGTAATTTAATGAAAATATTGTTTACCCGGAAAATTTATCATTCAAAAAAATTGTCGACTAATTTCTATAAATCAACAAAATTTTTGAATACAACATTAGCTCAAAATGCAAAATCATAATTATTAAACTTCCGGATAAATAATTATAATCATATTTTTTTGTTAAGAAAAATTATCATAATGAAAGTGAGTCTGTATTATGTTAGGCTTTCCCTTGTTATAATAATAATACAATGACAATACAATGTATATCATAAACATTTTATTTCAAAGCCTTAATAAATAAAGTCATTATTTTTTATACAATTAAAAACATAGTTATAAATTAATAAACTTTAATTTTATTTGCTATAATTGTGCACCTACAGCCAAATATATTTTATTAATTAATTTTAAAATAAATATTGCTTATAAAATAATTTTCTTATGCATATAACACCTTGGTTCACATTTGCAAAATGGACTTTATTCACCTTTTGCTTGACGATCATAATTGTTATCATTATAATCAATGCACTTGTCACCATTGAAAATAACTCCCTGGTTCCTTTTAGGGATTGTGTAACAACGAGTTTAATTGTGAGTAATTTAACAAGTTAATTATAACTTAACAGATAATCATCATGATAATTTTATTTTCAGGATAGGGTTAGAGTTTTAAACATAATTGTCGGCGTATTTGGTTGCGTTACACAAGTACTGGGCTTATTATCAGCCTATTTACTACCTAGAACAAATTTTATTATGAGAATATACAGCATTTGTAACTCATTACTGGTGGGCATGAGTATTACCCTGGCCATATCATCTACGGTACAAGTTGTATGGGTATTGACTGCGTTATTATTAACCACTAATCTATGCGCGGCTATTGTGGATAAAATGATCAAGGATCAATTGCTTAATGAAATTGAGCATTTACAGGAAAATGAAAATACTTATTACAGATATAATTCAACTGATACAATTTGTGACTACAATCAAAAGCCGACACTGGTATCAGTTATTGATCATCCAGCACCTCCTGGTGTTTATCACATACATCCAGTATTTGTAACTTAAAAATTATTTCTAAATTGTAATTGTAAATATTTTTATTGTAATGTACACTCAGGATCTAAAATATATTTTAATATAATATTTAAGCCATTTAATAACTTAAAAACTGCAACATTTTATATGAGAGACAATACTATAATAATTATAACTCACGAATTGTAAACATGGTCACCCAAATAACCACATAAATTTTTTTATAGAAATTCCTAAACAACTTAAAAATATACTTGCTAAAAAATTAATGGTGGTGGTGGTAACCTCCTCTCAAATTAATTATCATATTTAATATTTAATGACATCATATTATGTTTGATAAATTATTGTTTTCTATTAATTAAAAACTTATAAAACTTATTAATATTAAAATGTTTCATGGACGTATTAATTTTTAATATGAAAAATTGCATATTGAATTCATTATTATTAATAAAATTTCTGAAAATTAACTATAGTGTTTATATGAGATATCCCTCTATAAAACTAGTAAATAACTAGGTATTGATTAAAGACTTGATATTATTTTCATGTAATGTATTATATTTTTAAAAACAATTATTAATTTGTCAATTAATGTTACATATTAAGTGTTATAAAGGAAATGAGAAGTTTAATAAAATTGCCATATTTATTACCAATATATTAATTGAGTTTTATAATTGTTACATCATTGTGCACATTAATTTGTATTAATTTCTAAATATCAAATAACAGTTGTTTATTTAAGTTCTATATCACAACTAAATAATATACAGTATATTTATTATTGTTCAAGTTTACAGATGACGTTCTCTAAAGTAAAATAGTATGCGATTTGGTAAACTAATGTATCTGAGCGTAAGGATACCTAACACCGTATTTAAGTAACTTAGGCACTTATACAGAATATAACACTGCAATTCATACCTATCGAGTGGTGAACTACCCAAACGTGACAATCGCTTCAATATAATGACATTTCACGACATGGTAATGTATCAGGTTAAATTCAAACATAAATTTTTATGTTCACTTTACAGCTCGAGTATTATGATAAGCCTAATGAGAAAGGGTCGGCATATTTTAGTTCATTAGTAGTACCCGTGTTGGAAGCCATTGGGTTGTATCAGGTTAAATTGAAACATAAATTTTTATGTTCACTTTACAGCTCGAGTATTATGATAAGCCTAATGAGAAAGGGTCGGCATATTTTAGTTCATTAGTAGTACCCGTGTTGGAAGCCATTGGGAAACGAGTTAATTACAGGTGCCATATAATTATGAATAATATCTATTTGATAATACTTTTTAACTTTAAACCAATTTTATTTACTAATAAACAGTATAAGTCTGTACGTGTTCAAATGTTCGGGCTATTTTTCAAATATAACTCAAATTCAGTACGACATGGTTAGGCAGGGCTTACTAACATCACTGGACACCAGCCTCATTGATTATAGCCAGCACACCGACGTGTACTCGTTAAACTGCACCCAACCATTGCAAACAGCATTCCTCATGAATTATATCACTATCAATGTGTTTAAGCCATTCCCGCCGATTCTTGAATGCTGGCGATTCTACCAGAAAAAGACCTGGGTGTGTGTGCTCATGACTTTTATAGCTATCATAATCACCGATAAATTGGTTTATAAGACACGCGGCAACACTAAAACAACTAAATCCTTATTTTACAACATTTGGGTCTATTTTAAAGCCATGCTATTAATTAGCGATAAAATGCACTATCGCAATTACGTGTATCTGTTATGGCTACTATCGATAACGCCGTTGGTCTGGGTCATTCAGAACTACATGACCGCACAGATGGTGGACAGGGATGTCATATATATCAAAACAATTGATGACTTACTGGACGTTGGGCGCGACCTGTACTCCGATAAGACTTACCACCGGCTATTGAATACGACTATATATTACTCGGACTTTGCACCGGAATTCAAACATAAATTCATACAAATATCGCAAAAAATTAATAAAATGCAGAAATTTAGTGGTTTTGATGAGATGATGGTTACGTTGCTAGATATGGATGCGGTCGACACAGACTTCTTTTATAACATATTCAAAAGTATGGTAATTGTGGTGGATCACATTTACCTCAACTCATACTTGGAGACATTTAAACGCTTAATGCCGGCCCACGTGGGCCAATCCTACTTTGCCATTCCGTTGACACCACTATGCTATGGACCGGACTTCCCATTTGCTACCGATGCCCATGAGATGTATGAGGTCTACTAGATATTTAAATGTATTTGTCTTAATTATTAATAATTATAGTTCTCGGCGTGTGTTTGAGGCGGGCATTTTTGAGCACCTGGAACGTTTAAAAGCTGACTACACATTTGAAATGTATCGACAAATTTTCGACAATTCCGGTGTACTCCGGGGGAAAAAGTTTTCTGACTTTTATGGCAAATCCCTGTCTCAGTCAGTATACCAGCCCTTAACCCACAATACGTTTGAATCACTTTTCGTGTTAATTGGCTATTTGTATGTCGTTTGTGTCATTGTGTTAATTATTGAAATTGGGTACAAGCTACAATTTACTCATTATTAGCCAACTAAATTAATTAAACAATTATACTGATTGTTAACATCTTGGAAATCAATATGTAATTTTCAAGTTATTATTTATTCAAATGTTTGCATTTTCTATAATAAATTTCTTTTATACAACATTGAAATAATAATTAGAATTTTAGTTTACTGTTGTTTTATTAGAATGATCTGTATAATTCATTTATGTAAATATACTGTATTGATTAAAATACAACTTTCCCTTAGCGTTCCACCCTATTCAGTAAATTAAAATCTTATAACACATAAGTTAGTACACATCTATAAATAGCTAGTGTTTATAAGTATTAATTATACTGTATAATTCTAGCTAAATATATTGCAGGATATTCATCATTTAATTTTAGTTATATTATTGTTATAATAAAATTTAATTATGTCTGGCTTTACATTCAAAGATGCTATTAAGCTTTGGGGTCAGCCTCATAAATACCGGGATATGTATCCCTCGGTTTATATACAAAAATATGTTCATTCAGTTNTATTTTGTTTTGCAGTCAAACCCATAATAAGGAAATCCATTTCGTTGTGTCCGACAAAAGTGGCCCTAATTGTGGAGACACTCGACAACCGGACCCTCGAGTCGGCACTTAAACCCCGATTATAGTCACCATTGAATGCCCTCAACAGTGATGTCAGTCCCGCACCGGACGGACCCATAACTGCCGTCAAAGTGCCGAATGAGACACAACCGGAAACTCCCTTCAAATCCGGTGCCTTTTTGCGACTAAACACCGATTGAATGCTAAACGACATCCCAATCCATGCCATCGCCACCGCCGACCTGCCAGCCCTCACAGCACTTTCAGACTCTAGACTTTCGCTCATTTTTAACTATGTATTCAAAAAATGTTTTGCAATTTAAACACAAATAAAAACCTTATGTTTTCCACTCAATGTGTTCATTGGTTTATTATTTTAATTAATATTT